CTGTTTTCATTAGAGTTTTACGGCACTTGCAACACAATCAGGTCTTATAAATGCCGAAGATCAGAGGAGTTTCAAGAGGGCAATAAACACAAAAGGGAAGAGAGATGAGGGCGATAAATATGTGTGTTTGATAGGGGCAAACCACTACCGCAAACCACATCAAAGCACCCACAAATCACTTACACTTTTATGTTTGCATTTAATAAATTATATTATTCACTTAATTTAGGATAATCTGCAACAAGCTGTATGAACTCCCAACCGAAACGTTATGGTCACATCTGGAATGCGTAAGAACGTGTCCCTCAAAACTTTGCTCAATATCCACTCGAAAATTTGTGCGTCAGGAGAAATGGACTAAAAGTAGACCCATTTCGTTTCTAGGTACACACCGATTAAGTTTTTTAAAAACCCACAAAAGTCATCGTTTGACCAAAACATGTTAAAAAGAATAATAGTTCCACCATTTCTGAAACAATCTTAAAACATTTTCATTCATTTGACGTTCAACTAATTTATCAGGACCGTTTTTTTCATGGTAGGTTGTTTTGTTTTTTTAGAAGAGTTTAAAAGTGACTGGAGTCCTGTTCCTCAGCCCTGCAGTTCAAGCGAAGTTGAACCCGACATGTTTATATTATATATAAACATTTACTGTGACTTTTCCTTCACTATAAATTGCACTGGGTATCAATATCTAGGTCTGCAAACATATCGCATTACTTGTGCATCCTTTTCCTATCTGCCATTGTGGTGTCTTCATGGCACCTTGTGTTTCGTTGGCGACTTTAGTTAGAGGCCGTAGTATGCACTCAATACCACTGACGACTTCAGTCACTCACTCACTCGACCAGACACGCTAAACATGATTAAAAAACGAACAGAGCCACTACACAGAAGTAAATACCAAAGGAAATCACTTTGTATAATAACTGAATGGTTGATGAAATCCTGTGAATTTTTAAAGTGTGTTTCTTGGGCTGCGCAGATTTGTGTTTTTTTTATTAATAGTTAAGAACAAATTCTGCCATAGCTTCAGCGATCTTAAGTGGTTCAGTTCTTGAGGGTTTTTCACTTCGTGTTCGTTTGAAGAATTGACACAATGTAGGCCACTTGGGAGGCAAGCATCCGTTCCTAGAAAGAGTTCCCTCATGAAAATACAAGAGAGAGAAAACGACGCTATAATGTTGCTGTCCCTTCGACTAATTTGTCTTTACAGAGCTCGATACTTTAAAGCACCCCCCGCCCCTTGACAGAATGGAATTCGTATCCCATACTAATATCTCTGATTGTTTTTCTCCCTCAGACCTGTCCCTAACTGGATGAGGACGGTTGTGTTCCACTGGCTGGGACGCGTTATGCTGGTAGAGAGGGACAGCTGCACCATTTTCCCAGAATCATACTCGGAAGTCAAGGCGCCCAACAAGAATGGCGCGTCTAATGAAGCTTTCCAAGGAGAAACGTACAGCAACGGATACCAGGTGGTTATACACTCTTTATTATTAAGAAATCTTTAATTGCTAATTTTGTTCCCATGTTTCCATCATGTTACAGAATGTTCACAATTAATGCGGCAAGCAGAAACATTTCATACGGGAATACACAACAGTTGGGTTTTTTATATCCTGTTTTGCTGTTTTGTGGGTTTTTTCTGTTTCTTTGTTTGTTTGTTTTATGTTGTCTTTGGGGTCTCTTTTTAATATAAAAGTAATGCTTATTGACGAAGTAAATTATACTATTAGGTATTTGAGAAACACTGAATCAACTCTTTATTTTTCAAGACATTTAATTTTGTTTCCTTATTTTTTCTTTGCAACACTTATTCCTACAAGCTGACAAAGTGTCTTGCCTCGTGGTTGTGTACGATGGTTTTGCTTATGATTATGGCCATGTTGATGCTATTTCAGCCTGATTCGGCAGTCCGCTTTGAAGATGTTTGCCTTGAATTTGAACGTGACGACTATCTGGTAGGAACGAAAGTAACTGTGGTTTGGGCGAAATCTAATATAATGTATTCACATCATGGCTGGTTTTTAGGCAAATTTAAGTTTTGTATAGTTTTGTGAGTCTCTGATCCACTCAGGAAATCTTACTATCAACAAGTTTTCACATAAAGAGATTTACAATATTTACAAGCCCATTTATCATCTATTGTTACAATCAAATATGCATGAAGAATATTTTTGAGTTACAAGACTTTTGTATTGTGCTTCTTAATTTAAATTATAAATTAATGTTTATTAGTTCAATATATCTTTTTTTTAAATCGTAAAACAGCTTGACAGCGAGCGATGACTTAAATGCTCTTGTTTAGTATAATGCTTTTCCATACTTGATATATAAATTCGATATTTTAAAAAAAAGCGAACAGAGATGGAGATGGTACTGTTACAGGAATGTAGACTGTTCTCTAAATTTCGCCCCAGCTGCATGATGCACCTCAATGAAGTGTTCCTCTGAGTCGATTCACCCGCATTATCACTCACATCTGTCTTCGTTCAAATTTTATCTTATCTTAGGGATGAGACCCGCTTAATTGTATTGAGATTTTTAACAGCATGCAAGAATCAAAACAGACTCATTTGTGTTAACTGCTAACATAGTCTCAAACCTGGAAAGAGATTTTTTGCCTTGCCTGAGCTTCGTAAGTATGTGAGTTGAGGAGCACTTAATATAATATGCTAAGAAAGAACTTTGAAAGCCACAAGGAGAACATCAGAAATCTGGAATCACACCTTAACTCTAACTGAAAGTTTGAATTGAGTGTCCTGCTCAAGCAGTATACCAGGGAATGTGGTGTTTCGGTTAGGCGCTTCAACATCGCACGCTGAGAACCCGTTCTCAATCTCTGTGTGGGGAGTATTTCGCTCCATGATCCAGTATGTTGGTCTTTTATCTGGAACATTGTCGTGTATCACTGTCAGCCTAGGTTTGCCCTGACAGTCAAGGTTGAAACCCGTGTCCAAAATGATCTAAATTGTGTCTATATTGGCGTAAACAGAAAGAACTATATTAAAACAGAATCAAATAAGCGTACACTTAATGGACAAAACTATTCCAGAAATGTCAAAAATGGAAATGAGACATTGCTGTTACCATTTGAATGAATATTTAACTTACATGAGCGAGCCTGCACCTGATATACTATGGATGTCTGACATGTATTTAATTTCGTCAGGCTTCTAAACCCCACAGGGAAGCATTTATTTCTTATTAGAAAGACTTCCAATTTTTGTGGCGTATTTTATGAGGTCTGTTTCATTATGTTTAGATTGCATCTCAGGAAAGATTGCTTATCATGACAGAATTATGTTTAGTAAAAGATCTAAGAGCAATGTGTCATCATCTCTCTGGCTTTTCCTGGGCAAAATTTGAAAAAAAACGTATTGGACAAAAGAGAATAAATGCAGTAGTTGATGAGTAACCTTCTAAAGTATCACCGGTGACTGACCAGTCCAAGACAATCTGGAATAACAGTTTTACCCTGATTCTTCTCCCTGTACCCCATCCCCTTACTTATGTATGTTTGATCTTTCATCACTCTCTAAAGCAACACCATATTACCCACTCAAAATTTCATGGCGCTGAACGGCCTGTTTTCCCGTGTTGCACCACTTTCAGATTACATAGAACTGATTATCTTAATGCATAATCCATATTATTAACTTATTTTCTAGAGCCAAGTTCTTTAACTGCTACCTTGCAAAGTTGTTTCCTGTATTGCATGTATAATCTCTCACTCTCACAAATTAAAAAGAAAATTAACCGATATTTTGGAGGGGTTTAAAGAGTATCACAGGCCACTGGGTACCACATGGACGCTGAACATCAACTACGAAAATAATGATGCAAAAAATAGGCAGGTTAAGGCACCCACACTCGATTAGAACACAGATGTCTTCATATCAAGGATGTGCGCCAGATTTATAAACACTTAAAGTAGCTATAATCCTCAGTTTATGCTAACAGGTCCATAAATTTCATCCTTCCCACATCTCATTACAGTGGGGGGGGGGGGGGGGCGCCAATTAGAGGATATGAAGTGAAATAGAATATCTTTTGTTTTACTATGTTTTTGTATCCAAGGGACTTGACACATTGACAACCCGCTCGTCTCCTCGCCAGCCCAACGGTGGCTGTCCTTCCAGACAAATAGCGTAAAATGGGGGGGGGGGGGGGGGGAGGCGCACTATATATTAGACACCGACAAAGACCATGGCATCATGGGTAATTGCATAATTCATAGAATGTATATTCATTTCCGGACGTTGACATCATAAAACTATTGAAAGAAAAGACTGGTACAAATGTGGCATACGTATTGTGCAAACAGCACTACTCGTAATGTTTGTACAGTTTCTATTTGTTTGTCTAAAAGAAGGTGTGGACTGGCAGGAAACTGCGTAAGATGTTATTCTTAAAAGGGGCAAATGAGTTTATGCAAACTTTCGGAGCTTATAGCACAATGTAAAGGTAACTGCTCCTTAACTCGAATACATAACACCCAATTAGCTTTCTTTTACCTATCCTTTCGCCTCTACCCCCTCCCCCTTTCCCCTTTCCCTGTCATATTCACTAATTCCCTTTCTTCTCTCATTATGCCTCTATTTTGCAAAGTTCCTTTCACCTTCGAGCGTGAGTAATTGTGTGTTGACCAAGGTTTACAGCAACTAAGTGGGAAAGAACAAACAAAAGAGACCTGTAGTATAACAAACGCGAGAGACTCAATCAGAAACGTTGGCTAAAATTTGAAACAAACCGTTTTCCCGTTTTCTTGAAATAACAAATTTTCCGTCACTGGCTATAATAAATGCAAAATAAACATAGATTGTTTCTCGGCACACGTGCACGTGTGTATCACACCTATGTGTTGTTCTTAGCTCACCTGCCCTGCATGCTTAAACGATCCATCACAGCAGTATGATGGCTGCAGTCACACGAGTTTGTGCTTGGCACTATTGCAATGTTGTTTTCCAAAGGGATGGGTTTCATCTAGATTTGTTTGAGGCAAATTTGAGTAACTCTGTTTTGGAACTTGTACATTGCCAGTTCCAGCTAGTATCCGAAGCTTTATAATTATAAAAGCTCTATTCCACGCTTCTTCCTGTAGAGTGTACATATAGAATGGTGTTATCATAAATGCTTGATAAAAAATAATTTAACATTTCTATCTGCGATTGGGCACCTCTTTAGATTGTCGACCTGAAATGAGACCTCGATTAAGAACTTGACCAACAGATGGAAGCTCTGGATTCATATTGAGGTGTTTATATAAGTTAGGAAAATCGAAATATTTATAGTGTTATTATGCTATCTGCAACCAGTTTAGATATACCGATCCATTACTAATAAAGACATTTTATTTTTCCTCAGGGGTTTAACGGCAAGAACCACATTCACAGCAGCAACAATGGTGGGATTCCTCTGGGGGAAGAGTTCTCAGAGGAAACCACAAGCCCTACCCCCGACCACAGACCCCACAGAATAACTCCCATAACGCCGCTGTCTGGCGAGGTCCCTGCATCCTTTGCTCCTTTTGCGGAAGTTCTCAAACAGCAGCTGGCCATCATGGAGAAAGAGGATGCTCGCAAAGAAAGCAAACTTCGCCATGACCATCTAGCTTCGGAGTGGAAAAAAGTGGGCATCATCATGGATCGTTTTTTTCTTGCCATCTTCGCTATTGTGTTGTTCATCAGTTCCGTTGTGATACTGGTACAGTTAGGGGCGTCGTGACCGGTCTCGCTGGTATAACCGAGGTGTTTGATGACTGCGCGGAGCAAAACACTGATATTATTATGTGCTGTTGGCTAGTTCCAAATACAGAGGGATCTGTTTGCTAACCTTGCAATAACAAGAACTACTGTCAAGAGACATTCTTTTGGATGCTAATACCTCTGCAACCAAAACTCTTTCTCCATCCCAAACAGGCAAATGTTTCCGACTTAGTTCTTCAGCAGAAACATTACATTTGTCTAGTTTGAGAGACAAAAGGTCGTTTAGAAGATTTGCCCCCTTATCCAACTGAACAAAACACAGTGCACATTGGACAAGCATGGTGAAGAAGGAGGACACATTGTTAAAACGTCGATCTAAAACACAGACTAGAGTGTATGATAATGTATACCGCAATTCGTTATCTTATCGTTCGTGTAACTTGGCTGTGATATATCCTCTTAAACAAAATACTTCTGCATGGGCACTTTCCTACTAATATTATGACTAACATGAAATAGTCTTGAAGCATTAATTATCCACGGGTGCATAAGTCAGACATTGAGTCATTGGACTGTCAATTTCAAAACTTGAGAATTTGTTTCCCTTATTGTTTTTGGGTATGGTATCACTTCCTTTAAAAGGGTACTTCGTTCGGTTCTCATTAGTTCATCCAGTTGTTAATGGGTACTCGGCAATCGGCACAGACGGATAAAGGAAAAATGGTATGCCCCTGGTTGGCTGCAATGCTGTTTATCCCGTGCGTCTACTGATGGTACTTTGAAGTAAACTCACCGGTTATAGGAGTTTTTGAGAAATCGCAGGTGTAATAAATTCACGACAATAAGTAAACTCTTCAAATTTAACTATGATGTCGTTGAATGATCATGTGCCTTGACCGTGAAATAATTATTCTCACACTGCTTTAAGGATGATTTCCTTTGAACACTATCCCAGTAGTTCTCAAATATCTGTTACATTAATTTGGTAACATAAGGGAACGGCACTATCTGATAAACAAAGACAGATAACATAGTCATTTTTTAAACTGTATTCATCTTATTATCATTTACTGGAAAACTTCTGTACATATCTGTATTGTTTTGTTCTACAAAAATATCATGAAAGCCAACAGTAGGCACATTTTTAAGTCTATCCGATTTAATGAATACTCAAAAAAAGAAAGTGAAACTGAGGTGTGTTGATATGCGCTCTATTGGATTGTTCATGATATTAGGTAATAACAAATGTTGTTTTTACATTTGGTTAAAAACCTTTTGGAGATGAACAGTGTTGATTGGTGATTTGAGATTTATTTTGTAAGCTACCGGTTATATCGTAACAGATCCTTAACCAAAGATTGGTTTTCAAATATTATGTGGTTTGTTTTACTCCTTTGAAAATGTTACACAACAGATGTAGTGAAACGATCATAATAGTGTTGAAAGAACCAAACATAAAGGACAGAAAAGATGGAGAAAAAGAAAACAGAGAAAGTAGATGTAGGAAAAAATCATGAGTGACATTATAGGGTGCAACTGCTTTCAAGTTTAAAATGTTGTCTATTTGTAGTGAATATACAGCAGCTGTGCGAGTGTGTAATCGTGTGTGTGTGTGGGGGGGTATGTGTGTGCGTGTGTGTGTGTGCGTGTGTGCACGTGTGTGCGTGTGTGTGTGTGTGTGTGTGCGTGTGTGTGTGTGCGTGTGTGTGTGTGTGTGGAAATAAGCGGAGCAGAGCACAGGCTCAGAGAGGGAGAGACAGACAGACAGAGAGAGAGACAGACACAGAGAGAGAGAGAGAGAGAGAGAGAGAGAGAGAGAGAGAGAGAGAGAGAGAGAGAGAGAGATATGAAAAAAAGGGAGTCAGACCGACAGGCAGACAGACAGACAGAGAGACAGACACACACACACAGACAGACACAGGGACAGACAGAGCTTGGTAATGTGCCTGTATAGTTTTGGCTCTGTCATACCCTCCAGATCTCCTCAACTAATAATAATGTATCAGTTTCCTCATTGGCATGATTATATTCGTTGACTTTTAAGCTGCCTCGCTTGTCCAGTCATAACTGCCCTCAGATGGTTCTCCAAAACATATAGAACACATCAATGGGTGAATTTCGAAAAGAGATACTGAAATTGAAAGCACAAAGACCGGCTCTCTGATGGGACTAAGGTTGACCCAACTAAGGGTGACCGATACTCGAAGATTTCGCTTCAAACAGGATTCAGATCTATCGATGGAAACCACGATGGAAAAATAATTAAAATCTCAAACTTGAAATTATTGAGCAGTTGTCTTTAGAATTTGTTATAGTTTCAAATTTGCTCCAAATATCTAGTTACCCAAACAACGGACTACCGGCGATTGCGGTTTAACGGTTTGGCGCTACGCTGTCTCACGCAGGAAACCCGGGCTTGATTCCCGAGAGGTGAGAAAATATATATCGTACCTCTCACTTTCTGCTTGGATGTTGTATCCTTCTAAGCCCAAGTTGGCCCTGACAGGCAGGGTCGGAAGCTCGTCTCTTAAGTGATCTAAATGATGTCGTTCGGGAAGTAAAAAAACACCTACATTAAAAGAGAAGATTAGATTCAGTCCCGAGTTGGGCCCTCTTTTAGAAAAGATGAACGATCAAAGTGTTCATCGTTTTCCACTTTTTACCTTTAAGTATGTTCTGTTGATGTGCGAAATCTGATCATTTCCATGTGTAAGAGAAAATCTCGGACCGAAGGTGTTCCGTTGAAAACTCTACTCCTGCCTTACTAGTGCTAGGAAAAATTCAGAACCAGTTTATAGTTCCAAGAGTTTTGCCGAGCACGGCGGATTGTCTTTTAAAGTTGGGCCTAAACTAAACAAGAGACATTTTCACTGTTGATACACTTATGTTTAGAGAGGATAATGAATATTCATATTTGATGCTCAACGTACGAGAGAAATATGTTTCTTTCACTGACATTATACTGAATATCCTTACTAACGATTATACTGGAATTATGATGCTTACCTTGTTTTGAGATATTACCTGAGTGTACAAGTACTAATAAAGCTTACTCGCCTCTCTGATATTTCTTTTTTAAATTTCTTTGTTTGTGCTTTGTTTTGTTTTGGGTCCTTATTTTTCTCCAGTTCTCAAGTTCTAAGACAATTTTTACCACGGAAGGATTTTTGTAACAAACTATTTTTGGTAGGGTTGGGGAGGGGGTGAGGTTGGCCTGAACCTTGAAAGCTATTTCAAAACTGCATTCAAAGCACGTAGCACCAGCTCTCCCTCCTATCAAATGGTCAAATGGAAGGCATTTTTTTTCTTTAAGCTGCAAAACAGTACCCAAAGTACTTGTAGTCTTTACACAGCTACGGTATGTTGAGAAACAGCTATACTCCGGCAAAAAGGCAATAAGTGAATAAGAAGGCGATACGCATAGTGTAGTATAGATTGATTTAAAAGACCTTTTCAAAAATGCAATATTGCTTAGGAGTTGTAACCTTTGAATTTAACGTCTATATTCCAAAGGACTGAGCAAAATAGAAGGACAGTTTTAGAAACCTCACAAACAATCAAGATTCAAGAACACTCCATTGAGTATTCGAACCAGAATGAACAGCATAACGTCTTATGATAGCAACGGAACTTACGGCTCGTCCGGTGAAAACACAATGGACTGCCACCATGTCTATATCAATAAACAATCGCAACATCAAATTTGGAGTTTCATAAAGATAATAACATAACTTCTCGAAGAAAACATAAGGAGAAGAAGGATGTTTTTTAACTTTTGGAGCATAGCATAACCAATAGGTGTATGGCGTTTAAAGAGTTTTATTTTGTTGTTTTTAAAGTGGTAACGTTTAAATTATCTGGGAAGCGGGCTTCGATCCTGCCAGCCAGGCCCAACATAGGCTGGAAGGGATACAACGTCCCAGCAGAGAGATCGAGAAACTCGATCGAGTCAACCAAGACGGAAATCGAACTCAGGTCTTCTGTGTATGACGGCGAAGCACCCAACCGCTAATGCACATACGGTTGGTTTAAGGAGCTAAGGAAGCTACTATTAAAAATGAGAGATTATAATACTTATTTTAGTTTTGGTAAGTGTTTACGGCGCTCGTAAATGCATGAAGTCATACGAGCGCGGGGGACACATTAAACATTTTAGTTGGTATGAAATTTTGAATTTTGCCCTGGTGGCGGCCGAGGCCTACTCTTATCGATTTTTGACCATCTTTAATGTGCTCGACTTGCCTACGAGACCGCGGAGATTTTTGGTCCTTATCGGAGACGGCTAGGAGTAGATTTTTCCTGCCATAAGATCAGGGGTGTGGCTGAATGACACCAGTAAGAAAGAGCCAAGGAGTAGCAGTAGAAAAGCGCAGAAAGAGTCAGGAACATTTTTTGAGAGCAGGAAAGGAAGTGAAAGGAGGCAATATAGAGAAGAAAAATTTCCGTCTCTTTTTCTTTCTTTCTCTCTATCTATCGATCTATCTATATACCTATCTATCTATCCCTTGCTCTGTCTCAGTCTGTGACTCACACGCTCTCTCTCTCTCTCTCTCTCTCTCTCTTGCTCTCTCTCTCTCTCTCTCTCTCTCTCTCTCTCTCTCTCTCTCTCTCTCTCTCTCTCTCTCTCTCTTGTAGCAATCAGTTTTGTACCATCACAAAATGTAATGCTTTCACGTTTCAAAATAATAGGAATTTTCGTTTGGAAAATAATTTTCTCTTTCAGTCCTTGTTATGGCAGTTTGGGGATTTAAAAAAAACAACTGAAAAGAAGAAAACGACCTGACAAAATAACAGGCGTTTGATGCCGAGGAAAGGGAAACTAACCAGACAGGAACAACAGAAAGAAGAAAAGCAGTAAGTCATACTTTGTACATCCCGAATTATAATAATATATGCAAGGTAGCACTAATAAAAACAATATTTATTTATAAAAACAGCAAACGACAACTTCAACAATAGCAACGACTACAACAGCAACAAACGCATGGTAACTTTGAAAAATAACAGCTTTAGAGGCAGCATCAAGTACAACAATGTCAACATTAAAACATTACAGTTCTTAACGCTTTCAATTATTTCAAACACGCTACAAAATAATATTGATATGTTGGAGTATTTAGAAAGCAAAACTAAAACAAATCTGTAACCAGCCTTTTTGCTTTTAATTTCACTGAAAAATGAATACACGTACCATGTTAGTTCTGGGTCGTTTGAAT